AAAAAAAAAAAAAAAAGGATGGCATATTTCTGAGGGTGTTACCAAGGAGAAGAAAAAAGACTATCATTGTCCTTCCCAGTTCACAGGTCCAACATCACTAGGAGGGTTGAGGGCCCAAGGATGATTCTAACAGGTTCAAGGCTTTCTTGAGCAAGGGATGGCTCCTGTCATTTCATGTGACGTGGTGGTGGCGGGGGGGAGGGTTGGTAGGGCAGTTATATCCTAGAACAGAGCTCTGGATGTTCCTTTCCCATGCCCGCCCACTGCACTGCTCAACCAATTCAGGGCCTGCTGACAAGAAGTCTGGCAACACTGTGCATCTCTTTTCTTGGGTCTGGGTACCCAAAGTCCCACCAAGGTCCACATGGGATGGGAAATACCCTGAACTCTGAGGGTCTGTGGAGGGTCACCCGTAGAAACTGAGACTCACAGGGCAGAAGCAGGAAGTAAAGCTGATGAGCTCCAAATAGGGTAATTCATGACGGCAAGGCTAAGGCCCAGGCAAGACAGAGCCAACCCTGCAGAATGCATTCCCAGACCCAGAGAGGCTCGGCATGAAGGCAAGGAAAGGGCATCCCGTGGCGCTTCTCCTCAAGCAACTCTCATTAGTTTGAGAAAAGGGCTCTTTAAGAGTTCTAACTGGTTTCTAGCTGTTTTCAAAGCATCATTACTAACATGTCAAACTAGTCTTTAGAAGAAATAAGTTGGCCCCATTTTGCAGAGGCATAAACTGAGGCCAAGGTGCTCTGAGAGACTTCTCTGAGGCCCACAGCACGTAAAGCAAAGCCCAGGATGCAGGTCCATGGTGACCTGGGCAGGGGTGGGTGGTAGAGGGTTTGTTCTATTAGAAGCCCACACTACAAATTCATTTTAAAGTAGCATCTAAACTCTATAAAGAAAACGACCAGTGAGATTTCACCACCTGTGCTTGGAACAGCCAGGGTTGCCGATCTTAGTTCTCAGCTAACTAAAACCAGGTGCTATCTAGCACCTTCCATTTTTACCAGTGTAGATGTAGTACAAACTGATGTTAACAGTCATCATCAGTTTTCCCTCTATTTATGAATGTTTTGCCCCAACTGTGTGTACTTTACAAATAGAAGTAAAGCCACTCCTGTGTCTCTACTTGTGCCAACTTCCTCCCCTCCTGCAATAAAGAAAAAAAGAAGTAGGTTGAGGAAGAACTGACAGATCTTTTCAAAACTCCTAATTGCAGCTTATTTTTAAGTGCTGCTCCCAGTGAACACCAGGATCTGAAAAGCTAATCGTTTCTCCCCCTTGGAGCTTGGAGCTGCTGTCAGCGAGAAACAGGGCCTCCCTGAGAGCACACAGACGGCACGGGAGGAGAATGGACCCGTTCACACCCACTTAGCCAACTACTCCTCCCTCCGTCAGGCTTTCCTGAGCATTTTCCACTCCTATCACAGAAGGAAGGACGGGGCTCACCCAGCAAGCCACCTCAAAGTCAAACACCAGAACCAAAAGGCAGCACAAAGGCCAGGACACCTTCAGACGGACAAGACAGTACAAAAGTCAGGGCAGGGGTTGGGGGGGGTGGGGAATCTCTGGGCCCACCAAGCCACCTCTCTCCTTTTATAGACTAGGGAAACCCAAGTCCAGAGAGGATATGAGATTCACCCCAAGTCACCCTACAAATCCTTACCCATCCCATCTCTACCCAATCAAACCCTTTATAACATCAGTCCAGTTTTGATCATCGCAGTTCAAAACAGAGGTAGAAAAAAAATGACGCTGTGCACAGCCAAGCCAAAAAAAGAAAAAAAAATGACTGGGAAAATATGGCTCTCTCAGAAGGGGCACTGTGTAAGCTAGCAAAGTAGAGAGAGGCTGTCTCCCAAAATGAAAGGTTTAAGTGAGGCTATGCTGGCTTGGCTGAGCTATGTCTCCAGCACCTAGACCGGGACAAAGTGAGAATAAAACGAGAAGGGAGGAGCTTGAATGAAAGCACCAGAAAGCAGGTGCACAGAAAACTCAACTTACTCCAGAGTAAGCCACGGGAATGTGGGGTGTCTGTCCCAGAAATCACAGGGTGTTTCCAGCTTAAATGACCAAGAAATTTGTCCACCTCAATCATGGAACCATACCCCGGGCTGGAAACCCTTCATGGTTCCCCACTTCACACCAAAACCCCCACTCTGCACCAGAAAAGTCCTGAGCCTGGCACCCAAGACTCCAGCCCACCTTTTCTGTCTCATTTATCACCCATATCCCCCTGCCATAGTGCTCTTCAAATAGCACCAATCCATGCCCCAAATGCCCAGAACTTCCCAACCTTCCATCTTTGATCACAGCTCCCACGTGGAATTCTCTCACATTTTTCTCTGCCTGCTAAAAAATCCCACCAGTCCTTGAAGAACTGGTGGGGGAGAGGCTCAGATCCAGAGAACAGGTGGGCAGTCAGCCTCCTGAAGACAAAGACGGACACCTTTCTGTCCTAATCATCCTCATACTTCATGGAGCCCACACCCAAGCTGCTATTTAGCAAAAGGTAGATAGACACAATTCCTGGAGCCCTTACCAGCTCTGAAACCAGAGGAATTAGCTGTAAAGTGATAAGCCGGGAACAATTTAATCTCAGCTTTGTTTTAACAGGGAGACTATTGTCTCAAGGACAGGCAACTCCAGTCGGCCAGAGAGCCACAAGGAGCAGAGTGGCAAAACTCATGTTTTCGGTGCCTGGCCCACCTCAGGCCAGCGAAGCACAGAAACCGAGCCAGTCTTCTGCGGGCCAAACCTTAAACTTAGCCCCGCAAGGAGTCAGAGGGAGACCCTGGACTCTTGACTTGTTCAGCTCACTATTTTCAGCCTGGAGAACTGGGAATCCCACCACTGCTTCCTCCCATGCGTTCAAGGGACACTAAGTGATCAACTCACCCCAGAGTCACACAGTCTAGAGCCTCTGAGAACAAGATCAAGGAACCCTCCCCCACCCGCATTCTGGGCTAGAACTATCTTAAGCAAGCAGCTGTTTCATCAGATATTACAAATCTGGGCGCCTGGGTGGCTCAGTTGGTTAAGCAACTGCCTTCAGCTCAGGTCATGGTCCCGGAGTCCTGGGATCAAGTCCCACATTGGGCTCCCGGCTCAGCTGGGAGCCTGCTTCTCCCTCTGACCCTCTCCCCTCTCATGCTGCTTCTCTCTCGCTCACTCTCTAATAAATAAATAAAATCTTAAAAAAAAAAAAGATATTACAAATTTTAGGAGTATTTGCCTTTTTTTTTACATTGCCACTCTTGACTCGGCCTCCTCAATTCCACTCAGGTTAGAACTGGTGTCTTACAGAGGTGGCTCTTACACACACCCAGTCACCCCGGTTGTAGGAAGAGAGAAATCACTCCTGGGGATGCGAGCACTTTTACATGCAAACTACAAACTAAAGCCAAGATCCCAGCCAGCCAGTCACCAAGACAAAGAAAGCACCACAGCTATCCTACCAAGGCCCCAAAGGCTCAAGATTTTGACTACCCACTGGGGATGAGTGCATCCCCAGAGAACAAACTGTGGAGGCCAATCAAGGTTTCAGTGAGGGGCCTAAAGGCAGGAATCGTCAGGACCCTCCTCCACACCTCCACTCTTGTCATGGAACCACTACTGGCAGAATGACCCAAAAGGTCTCAGAAAGAAAAAAGCTTTGGGAACAAACCCAAGTCTTAGAGCCTTCCTCCCTCTCCTACCTAACATGGTATCCTTCCCAACACTCCCATCCAGCACCCCCTTACACCATTCCTCCATTTTACTTTCTTCAAAGCACTTATTCACTATCTGAAATTCTCTTATTTATTCCCTGCTGGTTGTTGCCCTCCCCCCATGGATCTTGGTTCCACCGCGGGTAGGACAGCCACATAACGTGCAGTGCCTGGCACTACCGGTCGCTCAATTATAATTGATGAATTCAGTTCAACAAGTGAACCGTATCTGAGGGCCTTACTTTGTGCCAGGTGCCGGGAACCAGTGGGTGAAGGGATGGGAGGAGGGCATTCTTGTTTTAGCCAACCTTGGCTGAATGAAGAAGCTGGCCACCCGGGTGGGAGGAAGCCCCAGCGGGTGGACCCCAGCCGCGGACAGCTACTGCTCTCCCTCCCCCCGACCCCCGCGCGATTCGGCGACGGTAGCCTCCCTGGGCCCTCCCGCTCGGCGGGCCCCGGCGCCCGCGCTCACCCGCTGCAGCTCGAGCTCGATCTCGACGGCCTTGAGCACGATGGGTCCCCGCACCGCATACTCCACAGCCTTCACCTGCGGGTTCATGGACTCAAGCGTAAGGATGCGCTCGCGCCGGCTCCGCTCGGGCCGCACCTTGAGCACTGCCGAGGCCTCGGCGGCTGCGCTGCTCTGACTACGGCCCCATGGGCCCGGGGTCCGGGGGCAGCAGCCCCGCCGGACCAGTGCCGCTGCCCGCTGCATCGCGCGCCCGTCCAGGGAAACCTTGACACTACAAGAAAAAGAACAAACACGTCGCGCACAGTCCAAGGCGGGCACCAGTGCCCCCACCCCCAAGCCCAGCCAAGGGCCCTTTCAGCGAGCGGTGCCAGCCTGGCTCCGGGGCCGGGTGCCCATCCCCCGGCGACTCGGACCCTCCACCGCGCTACTGCAGAGCCAAAGCAATTTCTGCAAAAGCTGCGCCCAATGCACGCATGCAACGTGCCTGTCGCCGCCGCCTGGCCAACCCTCGCTGCGCCCAGCTACCGCGCGCGCCTAAAACTGGCCCGGGGCTTCGGCACCCGCAGCCGCATTTCAGCGCCCAGCGCCCGCACCGCCCGGCCCCCTGCGCTCGCACACCCACAGCCGGCGGGTCCGCCCCGGACCTGCCCACTGGCTCCTGGGCCTTGTAGTTCCCCAGTCTTCTTCCAGAGCCGATGTAGAGAGCTGGCTGAACTACAAGTCCCATAGTGCTCCGCCCTGGCCTGATAGGGGGCCGGGCCAGAGGCGGGAACGGTCTTCAGACTCTGCCGGGGGCTGGGCTGGCTCTTTGTCCCCGCTGAGGGGCTGGAGAGTTGGGCTGGGGCAGGGCCAGGGGCTGTTCTTTCAGCCTTCTACGAATTTAGAGCTATTTGCCGTGTCTCCTTGGAGCCGCATCCCACCCTCTCACGACTCCTCCGCCCCCCCCCCGCCGCACTATCCAACACCTGCGAGGAGACAGGCTGAGAGATGGTGCAGTCCTCGTCCCGGGTTTCATCATCCAGGGCCCGAAGGTGGCAGTGGCAGCTCAACGGGGGCTGGTAGGAAGTGGAGCTTGGGAGTTCGGGACTTGATTGCCACTCTTACCCTTCTGAACGTCAGTTTCCTTGTCAGCAAAGCGGAGGTCTGACCCTAGCCTCTAAGGATTGTTGTGAGAATTAAAGGACCAGCACCAGGCAGGTACCAGGTGGTCAGGCTTTTCCTGACTTCATCTGTAGCACTTCCCTACCTTCATTACCTCTTTATTTTCTTGCAAGCATCTGAAATTATCTTGTTTAGATACCTCTTACCGGCTTATGGTCTACCTCCTGCATTCACCATGTAAGCTCCAGCAGGGCAGTTTTTCCTATTCATCCTATTCGGAGCACCTGTAAGCATTCCTGGCAGATAGGTAGGAACTAGTAAATATTTGTTGAAGAATGAATGCTCAGCATAGGGTAGCTTTTTTTTTTTTTTTTTGGCAAAGGTATTACCAGGCAAAGGCACCTTGGCACCCCCAGAGTGAGTGCAGGGCAAGAGCCGGAATGGAAGACACCAGGTCTGAGACACCAAAATCCAGAGGTCATGTGGGAGAAGTCACTTTCCCTCTCTGGGCCTCAGATTCTCTATGGGCAAAGTAAATTGGATTAAATGACCCCTAAGGTCCCTTCCCCTCTTGGAAATTCTGTGTCTAGGTGTTTTCCTGCAGAAAAACAGCCCAAAGCTCCCTCACCCCAACAAACACACACACTCAATATTAGATTTATGGAAGTAGGGGGCAAGGGGCACTTAAACACAGCAGTGTAGGGGAAAAGGTACTAGAAAATCTGGGTTTGAACATAGATACATATAATCACTTACCTCTTGGCTGTTACTTAGCATTTGTAAGCCTAGTTTCCCCATCTGTAAAATGGGGGGACACACTTACCTCCTGGGACTGTGAAGATAGTTCAGTGAGGTAACTCTGAAAAAGGCAAGAGTTTGGAACCTAGTGCTATGGGTCAGTCTTACTCATCCTTGTCAAGAGAATGCCATATACTTGGATTAAATAAGTTGATTACCAATAAAGGGGAAAAGGGGATGGAGGGAGCAGCAGAAATGAAAATCTCTCTGAATATTCCTATGTTAGCAAACTGGCTTGCCCACCAAGGACAGTTATTTGGACTTCTGATCAATGGTTCCACCCCCAGCACCTACGCGGATTCTGCCTCCTTCCCGGCCTCTGTCCCAGTGGCCAGGTATTCAGCCTCCAGGTAAGACATTCCCCTCAGGGAGCTTGGCTTCTCTAAGGATTCCACTGCCTTCAACGTCACGTTCTCACCTGCGCTGCCCAGTTGTGGAGAAACACACCCACACACTCGTCTTCCTCTAAAACACATTTAACCTTGACCCGCATATGATGTAAACACAGTCCCTCACTGTTCACCCAAGGGTCGGTGCACTTCCTGTTGTCTCCATCCCAGATCAGAAAGGGCAGGGGAGCTGGAGGGTGGGTGGGCATAGAAAGGTGAGCACAAATCCATTTGCAAAACTGGGAAAAACAATGCCTAGCACACAGTCCATCGACGTGGGCTCACACGTCATCATTGTAGAAAACAAATTAATGTCCCAATTATGTCCTTTGCCAGCCTGTCATGACTGCACGAGAAGAAAGCTCCCTTTCTTTCCTGTGAACCACACTTTACAATTTATAGAGTACTTTCATACTTATCACTGCATTTGAACCCGATAGACATCAATGAAGTGAAAAAGGCAGGCATTATCCCCATCTTGCAGATGAAGCTCAGAGAGATTAGGTGACTTATTCAGGTGGCACAGTCAAATGCAGAGCACGGACTGTGATTTCTAACCCAGCGCTTCAGTCCATACATGCAGGGACCAGGCTTGTGCAGCTCTCTGGGTTTGGAAATTTGCACTGCCATTGCAATGCACTGAACCCTAGAAAGGCTTTTGGGTGGTGGTTGTGATGATGATGGTGGCAATAGAGTGAACTTTGCCTTAATTTTGCCCCTACACCAGATTGGGGTGGGGCAGGAGCAGGCTTCTAAATATTAAAGATAAAACCTGATTGAAACAGTCATGAAAGTCCTCCCTATGAGCTGGGTGAGAGCTCCAAATACACAACAAGTCCTTGACAACCCACACAGTTGGGAGAGTCATTTGTTTGCAAGACATGGTACTAGTCGTCATTCCTCAACAAGTTTTTACTGAGCACCTCCCATGTGCCAGGTGCTGAACTGAGCTCTGGGACTATAGTGAGTCACACAGATGGTCCTTGCCTACACAGACATACAATTTCTTAGGAAAGGCAGACACCCATTAGATAAGCACACACACAAGCGTGTGATTGCAAACTGTGATAACTGCTGGGGAGAAAAAGGACAGTTATGAGTACTTATAGCCCAGAAGTCTGACTGAAGGTTTCCCAGAGGAAGTAGCCTATGAGAACTGCCCAGAGGGGCGCCTGGGTGGCTCAGTCATTAAGCGTCTGCCTTCAGCTCAGGTCATGGTTCCAGGATCCTGGGATCGAGCCCCACATCGGGCTCCCTGCTCTGCGGGAAGCCTGCTTCTCCTTCTCCCACTCCCCCAGCTTGTGTTCCTGCTCTCGCTCTCTCTGTCAAATAAATAAATAAAATCTTTAACGAAAAAAAAAAAAAGAACTGCCCAGAGAAGCCTGGCAGGATGATAAGGGGTAGCGGTACTGATGGGTGTGGTAGACACGGGGATATGCCCTCACTCATCAAGGGAAACCTTGCCTGAAAAAAAAAAAGGCAGGGGAGAATTTGCCTTCAACCAAGGGGTGTGGTCCATAGCCAGCCTCCACCTGCCAGTGCCATCAGGGTCTGCCTCACTTGCACAGAACTGCCTGGCCTGAGGTTGCCATCACACCCTAACAGGAGAACCTAGGCTCAGCGACTGGGCAAGACTCAGAAAGTGCTGGAGCAGTATTTGCTCCAAGGCTTCCCCAGGAGGTTGGCTGAGGCTTTGGCAGGCCTGCTTCATGGTTTTTCTTTCTCTGCTCAATCCTGCTGCCTCCCACTTCCTCTTACAGAAGTAGATCCCTAATATCCATCTTGCACCTCACACTCCATCTCAGTGTGAGTGATGAGGCACAAAATGTCCCAACCCAGGGACCGCCAAGGAGCTCCAAGAAGGCTAGGGTGACTGCAGAGCAGACAGTGAGGGACAGAAGCAGGGCTGGAAGACAAGGGTCAGAGGTGAGCGACAGGCAGCCTAAGTCCTAAATGTGAGAATTTCAGTTTTCATCCTAAGAACAATTAGAAGCCTCTGGAGGGCTTAGGGTAGGGGAGTCACATGATCATATTCATGTTTAAAATTCTGTGGCATGAGGATGGATTGGAGACGGGCAGTTGAGGGTGCAGGAGGATGAACTGTGGCACCACCAAAGTCCAGTGTTGGCCTGGACTAGGGAATAATGAGAAACGGCCAGGTTCTTCTGCATCCCCAGAATCTAGTATATCACCTGTCACACAGAAGTTCTCAGTAAATTTTTGTTGAATGAATGAATGAATGAAGTAGACTCTATAAGGTCTGTGCTCTCGAGGTGGTTGCAGTCCAGCAGAAGGGCGGTGCATAGTAAGTACGGGAAGGGTAGCCCCCACCAGGGCAGAGTGGCCAGTTCTTGGAGTCAGTGAGGGATGTTCCACTCTGCGCAACAGAAAGTAAGAGGGTCTTCCAAGAAAAACAGATGGGCATTATGGGGCTACAGGAGGGATGGAAGACCTTCCAGAATGTCAAATCATGCTCAAGCTGGGTGCTTGGGTGACTTAGAGGAAACTCTTTTTTTTTTTTTTTAAGATTTTATTTATTTATTTGACATAGAGAGAGAGAGACAGAGCGAGCACAAGCAGGGGGAGTGGCAGGCAGAGGCAGAGGAAGAAGCAGGCTCCCCACAGAGAAGGGGGAGCCCGATGTGGGACTCGATCCCAGGACTCCAGGATCATGACCTGAGCCGAAGGCAGTCGCTTAACCAACTGAGCCACCCAGGCACCCTAGAGGAAACTCTTGATCTCTTGCTCCCAAGGACGCTTGGGGAGCTGGGTGAAAATTGATGCCCCCAATAAACAAATGTCTTGGCCCAGGACAATGATTCTAAAGTATTATCTAAGGAGCTCCTGAATGTTTGCCTGAAGTGCCGATTCCAGACTTATTGGTTCTGAAACTCTAGGGGTGGGTTTGACCAGGGATTTTCCTATAATCGGGAATTTTATTTATTTTTTATTTTTTTAAAGATTTTATTTATTTATTTGAGAGAGAGAGAATGAGAGACAGAGAGCACAAGAGGGAAGAGGGTCAGAGGGAGAAGCAGACTCCCTGCTGAGCAGGGAGCCCGATGTGGGACTCGATCCTGGGACTCCAGGATCATGACCTGAGCCGAAGGCAGTCGCTTAACCAACTGAGCCACCCAGGCGCCCTATAATCGGGAATTTTAATTAAAAAAAAAATTTTTTTTTTTTTGGAGAAAGCATGAGTTGCGGGGGGCAGAGGAAGAGAGAGAATCTTAATCAGGCTTCATGCTCAGCTCAGAGCTGGACACTC